CTTCCTTCCGAGGAGTGGCTGGTGGGTTTGAACCGCCAGCCGTCTGGTTAGCAGGCAAGTGTCTTAGCCACTATGCTACCAGAGCTCCCCATACAAGACTAAGAGGGCGTATTTGCCCGAAAACAAAGTACAGATAACAAAAAGGGGCAGGAAATAAGGATGAAGGGAAATGAGGAACCAAAGGAGGAAGTGGGAAGCATGCTGTTACATCGAGGGGATTGCAACTAATGCCACAAGACAAAATGTTTATAAATTGTTGAATGAAAAATTAATTTGCTCTATAAACTTTCACCCAAACTACAATAAAATGTTCAAAAATAAATAATTTTTTAGAAAAAAAAAAAAAAAAAAGAATCAGCTCTAATGTCACCTTTCTTGGAAAGCCTTTGCTGACAGCCCTGAGGCCTAAACACACCTTCCTCTATGTTCCCAAGTGCCCCTGGCGTTCTCCCCTTGGAAGGTAAGAGTTACACTGGTATGCTTATGTGTCTCTCCTTCATGAGACCACGTGTGGCTTAGGACCAGGAAATCTGGCTAGAGACACCGTGACTGAGTGTCTGTCAGGACCCGCCAGCTGGAGGCCAGCCAGGCTGTGAGGCAACTGACACTATACGTTCGGCTCTTCAGGTCCGCAGACCCTCTGGAGACTCAGTGTGCTCGTTCCCTGACAGGCTACAGAGGATGTGTTGTGAATTTCTTTCCCTAACTGGAGGTATGGAAGACTCCTTACTTACCTGGTGCAACCATAATTTCATTTTTCTTGGAGCGAATTCGAAGGAAGGTGAGGTCATTCTGGGGGTCAATTTCACGCACGGTGCTCCGTGCCTTCAAGATGAAGTTGTGCATGAGGTTGGCGTACTGTGTAGTTGTAGAATTGTCCATGGTGCTTTTGATGGGAATTCCTGAGGGGAGAGCAAAGAGAGGCTGGGTGGGAATGGTGGAGCCCCTTTCTTGGAGCTCCAACCTCACTTTCCCTAATTCTGTAATGAGGACTGGCAGTACCCATCAATGGCACTGTACCGAGGGCTTGCTATGTGACAGGCACCGTGTTGAGCACTTGATGTATGGCAGTGCCAATCCCCTGAATACATCCCATCTTCGTTAACTGAGGAGGCACTGGAAGCTGAGTGGTGAGGTGACCTGCCTAAGGCCACACAGCAGATAAGCAGCAGGGCCATGATTTGAATGCAGGCTCTACTGCTGAGCCCCTTTCACAGGGCTGCTGCCTTTACTGGTTTCCAAGAATAAAAGCAAAGATGGTCATTCACCACCCTTAGAACCTGGACCAGAAGAAGAGCTCTTACAAATCTGTCAGTACCGAAAAGCAGGAAGAAGAAGAAAGGTCAGCGGTGTCAAGCCCATGACCATCACTAGTGTTCTGCTCCAGTTCCCACTCAAGGGAAGCTTAGGGCCTGCTGTAGGGACACCATCTACACACAGGATCATGCTCCTAAATGAATGTTTCTACGTCTGTATAAACCATTGGTAAACAGCATTGCTCCTGGCCTACTAAGTGGATGTTCCACAGAGTTAGACATTCCCCGACTGCTGAGTACTGAGTACTGCTGAGTACTGGGTTTCTCGCCAGTGTAATTAACTACAGTGAACACTACTGTGCATCCTTCTCCTTTGAGAATTGTTTTCCTCAAATGAACATGAACCTCTTCCTGTGGACAGTGCCTGTTGTCACCGAGGTGAGGAATGTGGCTCAGTCTGAGTCACCTCTCACCACACGGGGGTCATCAGGTGCCTGTGAATCCGCCAAGACACATCAGTGGAAAGTTCCACCTATGGAGGGCCTGAGAGCCAACGGGGGTCCCCACATATGAGTGGCCAGGTTTTGGACCCAGGACGCTGCTTATCTGGCCCACAATTGATCAGCCCAGGGCTCAGCCAAATGCAGTCATCCTCAGGCCTCAGTGGATGGCAAGAAGGTATCCCAACATTCTGAGGGCCCCGAAACACAAGAGTGGGCAGAAGAAGGGGCCACAGTGATAGTGGGAGCAGCTGACTGAGGCAGGCTGTGGTGAGCCCAGTCATGAGAACGGGTCATGGTGCCCAGTCACCAGGGCTGCGGCTGGGTCCTGGACTGCAGTAGTATGCACACCAGGGCCCCAGGAGGCCTCCACGGCTGTGCCTTCCTAGGACGGCAGCAGGGGTGGTGTCCATTCATCTCTAGCACAACTGGGTGATGACGGAAGAGCAGGAGCTCTGAAATGATAACCTGGGTTTACACCCCAGCACTGCCCCTTCATTGCTGTGTGGCCTCAGGCAAGTAATTAACTTCTCTAAGCCAGAATGCTCCTTAGAACTAAGCAAGAGTGGCCAGACTTCATCTCTTGTACTTTGGTCATGTTGTCAGAAAGGACCAGTCCCTGGAGAAGGCTGTCATGCTTGGTAAAGCAGAGGGTCAGCAAACAAGGTGAAGACCCCCAAGGATGTGGACCGACCCGAGGCTGCAATGATGGGCTCCAGCACAGAAACGGACCGTGAGGGCGGCACAGGGCCAGGCAGTGAGCTATTCTGCTTTCCACAGGGTCACTGTGAGCTGCAGACAACTCGTTGGCACCTTTTTTGGCTGCCTAGTGCCACTCTGACAAGAATATACCACAAATGGGATGGTCTTAACAAACAGGAGTTTATTCTTACAATTTGGAGGCTTTAAGTCCAAGTTCAAAGTGCCAGGCTTTAGGGGCTGGATGAAGCCCCTCAACCTTGGGGTCCAGCTCTGCCTCCTGCTCCTGGCCCACCGGAGCTAGAGGCGTTTCTTCACTCAGACAGCTGCTGGCTGGTGAGGCTGAGAAGCCCCAAGGTTGACAAGTAAAAAGGCATAGTCCCGATGTTACCAACCACACAGCAGGCCATTAATTTAAGTCCATTGTAAGTCCCAGGGTTGGCAGAGCATGGCAGGCTGCTGAGCAACGACACAGCTACATGTCCAAGCATGCCATACGCTGAAGACCATTCCCACAGCTTCTCCTTAAATACAGGAAGCAGACCACCTCCCAAAGGCACCTACTAAGCTGCTTGTGGTAGAACCCACCATGGAGTTGACTGCCAGTCTCATCATGGGGAATAACTACCACCAGCTGCCCAGCCACTCAACCAGGCCCAGCCAAGTTGACACACAAACGTAACTACCACAGCACCTGACAACAAGCCTCCATTTTTCATTTCCTAATCTGTAAACAGGAGCTTCCAGATGCTGCTGTAAGGACTGTGGTTGCAGGCCCTGATTCATGGCAGCTCAACGACTATGGAACAAAATGCTGCCTGCTCCTGCCCTGTCCCCACGACGCCTCGGGGACTGGAGCCCTGTGAGCCAGAGGGTTTTGATGGCTGATCTCTCAGAAGCAGATCAGCAGCCTTCCCTTCTAGTCTGTCTTAGCCTGGAGGCTCCACTGAAGCTCTTCAGCATCACAGCCACAAACGAGCCTCCAGAGACGGACTGAGAACCTGGGTCTCACCCATGGAAGGCACCAATTCTATCACTGAACCGCCACTTGCCTGCGCCTGTGGGTTAAATACGGCTTAATTCATCTGAGAGTTTAGTAAGGCACAGGCACCTTAGTAAACGTTAGTTATCAACATCACCCCCCCCCCAATAAATCTCATTCCCCAGATAACTGAGGGGACATTCTTATACCTGGAATGGCATTGCTAACACAAGGCCCACCTGCTGAGGGCAAGGATTAGAGCTAGGATGCGACAGGACCCTGGGCTGGCTGTTCCTCTCCTTAGCTCCCCTTTGGGCTCTGATGGTAGCAGACTTAGCAGTCTCAAGGCTTGGCAAGGTCTGGGCCATCAAACACCTTGACCTTTTTTACAAAGGCTACCTTCTTTCAGGCCCCTCTGCCTGGACCATTTCTTCCTTCCCCTCATCACTCATGGCTGCCGCTGGTCCCTCAGGTGTCTACCTTCTGATGCCCAGCCATCCTCAGAGGTGGTCAGTACCTGCCTCTAGCATCCCAGCACCATGCAGTTTTCCTTCAGAGCACTAACAAGATGTGACATCACACATTTAGGGAAGTGATCATCGCCTGTAAGTACCCCAAGAACAGCTCTGTTTTGCTCACTAGTGTCTTTGGGGACCACAGTAAGCTGATGATCAACGAGTAGTTTAGACACATACAGTTCAGACAAACACTGGCATGAGTTTGAACAAATTGCTACTAAGTAGGTAGGTCTGTAAAGGAGACAAGAAACAGACCATTTGTTGGCTCCCTCTAAAAACAGAACACGGAGGTGGGGCAGGGACTGAAACTGGGGAGAACTCAAATGAGAAATCAATCCAGACTCACAGGCTGCCAGGGCTGGAGGAGACCACAGGGAACGGTCTAACGACTAGGCTTCTGCTGTCTAGGTGCAGAACGTGCAGCCCACAGAAGCGGCTGGTCACCAGCACCCACGGTCTCTAACCCAGGGCTCTGATCCATCACGCTGTGCAGGCAAGGTCCTCCCACCACATCTAGCTGCTTCAGTCAAAAAATTAAAGTTTTTAAAAAACTGTTGTTATGTGCCGTCGAGTCGGCACCGACTCATAGCGACCCCTCCTTGGGTTTCCGAGGCAGTATCACTACGGAAATAGGACTGCCCAACTTAGGTACCCTCAAGTCGGTTCTGACTCACAGCAACCCTACGAGGAAGAGTCAACACTGCCCAGTCCTTTGCCATCCTCACAACTGTTGCTCTGTTTGAGTCCACTGTTGCAGCTACTGTGTCAATCCATCTCCTTGAGGGTCTTCTTCCTTTTTGCTGACCCTCTACTTTACCAAACTTAATATCCTTCTCCAGGGACTGGTCCCTCCTGATAACAGGTCCGAAGTAAGTGAGACAAACGCTTGCCACCCTTGCATCTAAGGAGCATTCTGGGTGCACTTCCTCTAAGATGGAGTTACTCATTCTTCTGGCAGCCCATGGTATATTCACTCTTCTTTGCCAATACCCTAATTCAAAAGCGTCTCTTCTTCTTCGCTCCTCCTTATTCACTGTCTAGCTCTCACACGCATATGAGGCTCCTGAAAAGACCATGGTGCTGCATCAGATGCACCTTAGTCCTCAAAGTGACATCTTTGCTTTTTAACACTTTACAGAGATCTTTTGCAGCAGGTTTGCCCAAAGCAATATGTCTCTCTCTCTTTTTTTTAATTGTGATTTGGGTGAAAGTTTACAGAGCACATTTACTTTCCATACAACAGTTCACATACACTTCGTCGAATGACACTGACTACAATTTCCCCCAATGCAACAGCTCCCCTCCTACTTCCTCCCAATAGTTACCTCTTCCCTGTGTCAGTCCCTCCACGCACTCCTGCCCCCTGAGCTGTCTCCCTGTGCATAAGCAGCCCTTCTTTCTCCCATGATTGTTCTCTCCAAGGAGTGTATCTACCTCAGGTAAATGTTCAACTCATATGCCGGTCTTTTGTTTGGCTGGAAGCCACAGGTGTGGGTTCAATTCCAGACCTGAAGGGCAGCTAGTGGCCATAGTCCCAGGGGTTCTACCAGGCTCTCTCAGACCAGCAAACCTGGTCCCCTCCTTTTTTTTCCAAATGATTTTGAGTTTTGTTCCACATTGCTTTCCCTCTCTGTCCAGGATCTCCTACAGAGATCTCCCTCCAAGTGGTTGACATTGGTAGCCAGGCACCATCTAGTTCTCCTGGTCTCATAGTTATATAGGCTGCGGATGGCATGGTATACCATTTGTTAGGACTAATTGTTTCCATGAATCTTTGGTTTTCTTCACTCATCTTTGTTCTGGATGAGGAGAGACCCATCGTTGCATCTAGATGGCTGCTTACAAGCTTTTAAGATCCCAGTCTCTAGTCTCCAAAGTAGGAGGTGGAACAGTGTTTTGTGTAGTATGTTATGCCAATTGAGCTTGATGTCCCCTGAGGCAATATGTCTATTTCTTGACTGCTGCTTCCATGGGCATTGACTGTGGATCCAAGGAAACCCTTGACAACTTCAGTATTTTCTCCGTTTTTCATGATGTTGCTTATTTTTGATATGAGGATTTTTGTTTTCTTCCTGCTGAGGTATAATCTACCTTTGGTCTTCATTGGTAAGTGCCTTCAAGTCCTCTTCACTTTCACCAAGCAAGGTTGTGTCATGCGCATACTGCAGATTGTGAATGAATTGTCCTCCAATCCTGATACCACAGTCTTCTTCAAGTCCAGCATCTCTGATTTATTATATACCAACTATGCGTCAACACTGTTCTAGGTCCTGGGGATACATAGTGAACACAAGAGACCAATTTGTGCCCTCTCGAGCTTGTATTTTTGCCACATGTGGGTAGTAGCAGGGGTGGCAGGGATCTGGAGAGGTAGAAATAGAATGAAATGTCCTCTCACTTCTTGGTAAAACAACTTAAACTCACACTTTCTCTGAGCTGGGAGGGTCAGGGGAGGCATCCTGAAGAGACGTCTGAGCCAAATCATGGAGTGAGAAAACCCCAGATGAGTACGAGAGATCCCCAATACAAGCATCCCTAAATACTCATCTTTAATCGAAGCTTCTAGAGAAGACCTGGTGGCACAACAGTTAACACCTGATTAACCAAAGGGTCAGCAGTCTGAACCCACAAGTAGCTCTGTGAGCGAAAAGACCTGGCAATCTTCTCCCATAAAGACTACAGCCTAGGAAACGCTATGGGGCAGTTCTGCGCAGTTATATAGGCTCATTATGTGTACGAACTGACTCCATGGCACACAACAGAGGGCATAAAGGCCCCACAGAGCAGTGGGAAGAGTAATCACCCAGAATCTGGGTTTTGACCACCCTCCGTAGCTGGGTGACCTCGGCAAAGCCACCTTATCTCTCTTATCTCAAGTTCTTTACCTGAAAATGGGCAAACATCACTGCCTTCCAGGGTCGCTATGTGAAATGTAAGTGAGGGACCAAAGGAGGAGCTCTGTGGATGGTTACAAATGAGATGGATGTAAAGACACACATACACACACAGTTGTAATACTTTTGAGGTGTTTATTATGCACCAGTCATTGCTCTAAAAGTCTCCCTTTGAGAAAGGGTAGCATCAGCCACCTTTTGTAAATGAGGACTCTGAACAGTGGTTAAGTGACTTGTGTAAGGTCAGTTACACAGATGGTCAGTAATGGAGCCGGGCAGTCTGCTCCTGGATTCTGTATCTTTAGCCACTGTGCTATAGTGCCTTCTTCATACCCAAAGTGCCCATCAGATTCATCAGTATCTAAAAGGTAGGCAGATGGGCTATATTTCTCAATGAAAGAGTCTGACCTCAGAGGCAATTTTAAGGCAAGAACGAAGGCTTGTGTTTTCCAAGTACTAGTGGAAGCCTAGGGACCCCAGTTGGGGCAGTTGGTCCTGGGGCTGCTGCCACCCCATGTGAGGTCCAAATGTTGAGTCTAAGAAACCCTCTAAGTGACATGTAGTTTTTCAAGTCTTGGAGCAAAAAGTGCACCAAAGAGAGCACCATTCCAACCATTCCACTTGGGGCCATTGACACCTGAAGAGGGGAAGGGTTTGCCCCCAGACCACACAGCAGATCAGTGTCAGACTGAGCTGGGGGCCTGCTCCTGCCTTCCTCGGTGCCGAGGGCTACGCCGCCTGCCTTCTTTAAGTCCAACGATCACACGGTTCAATGGGGTCTGGCAAAGCTGGAAGCATGCTCTGCTTAGCTCTGGGCTGGTCTGGGCTCTGGCAGCTTAGAACCAACATTCTAAATGAGGACATGCCATCCCCACCTTGCTGCCCTTGGTGAATTTTATTGTGTTCTCGTTAAGCAGATAGAGTTGAGAATCTTGCCTTTCCAAACAAGGCCTAGAATACTCTCTCTGAGAGCCCCAAGCAAATCAGAGCTGACTGAATATGCTGGGCTAGAGAACTGAGGATGCCTACAGCTGTCTGCCAAGGGGACAGCACCAACGTCTACAGAGCAGTCAGACTGAATGAGAAATTAGATCCTGGCCAGCAGAGCGCCATGCACACGGCAGATGCCAGTTAATGTTGTATGACCTCTATTCTGAGGGCTGCATGTAACCTGGCCTGGCAGAGCAGACCCTTTGCTGGGCACTGAAAACCCTGCACAGTCCAATCTGGAACACAATATTTAACTTTTCTGAGCCTCAATTTCCTTGGAAATAAAATGGGTTGTTGTGAAAATTAAGTATCAAGGGCCTAGCATCCTAAAAAATAGCTCTGGTAGAATAATGGTTAAGGCATTTGGTTGCTAACCAAAAGGCTGGTGGTCCAAACCCATTAGCTGCTCCACATAAGAAAGATTGGGTGGTCTGCTTCCATAAAGATTTATAGCCTTAGAAACCCAATAGTGGTTGCTATGAGTCTGAATTGACTCCATGGGAGTGAGTTTGGTTTTTGGTGCATCCAAAAAGAAGAGGATCTGAGGGGATGTTGAAGGTGGGTAACGTTTGGATCGGTAGAGAGAGGGGAGAGGACAGCTGAGGCAAGAGTAGGAGTGGTGGCCAGATGACCTAACAGAACAAGGACAGGGTAAACAAGAGCCTGGGCCTTACCTTAGGCTGAGTAAGTCAGGCTTTCTAGAGGACAGGTGTGAAAAGCTGTGCCTTCAGAGCCCTAGATGATTCCAATGAATGTGAGAAATACTGTGGCCTAGAAGCATGAAGCAGGTGAGTTCCCCACAACCCAAGGGAGGAACTTGACCAGGAGAATGGGTTTACATAAACAGATGCTCAGAGATGATGGAGACAATGATGACAAGAGCAGCCCCTAACCTTTACTGAACATTTACTATGTATTAGGTCCTGTGCAAAATGTTTTACGTTGTTCATTTTCAGTTACTTTTTACATCTCTTTAACTCATTTAATTCACTGCTGTCGAGTTAGATCTGACTCATAGCAACACCTCCTTGGGTTTCCAAGGTAGTATCACTACAGAAGTAGATTGCCCAACCTTCCTTCTGAGGAGTGGCTGTTGGGCTTGAACTGCCAGCCTCTGGTTAGCAGTCATATGCCTTAGGCACTATGCCATCAGAGCTCCCACAGCTCTTTAAAGTAGATCTAAATAGGCTTAAGTGACTTGTCCAAGGTCACAAAGCTAGTCAGCAAGGGAGCCAGGATTCCAGAGCCCTTGCTCTTAACTGCAGTCTGGAGTACCAGAGCCTGGGGTCACAGACCAGGCAGTACACACTGAGACCAGGCAGTACACGCTGAGACCAGGCAGTACACGCTGAGACCAGGCAGTACACACTGTTCCTCTACAACACCACACTCCAAGCCAAAGTCATGGCCGTCGGGTCGATTCCGACTCACAGTGACCCACCAGGCAGTACACACTGTTCCTCTACAACACCACACTCCAAGCCAAAGTCATGGCCGTCGGGTCGATTCCGACTCACAGTGACCCCCCCCATCACATTTCCAAATATGCAAATCTTTACGGAAGAAGGCTGCCTCATCTTTCTTCTGCAGAGGAGCTAGTGGGTTCAAACGACCGACCTTTTGTTAAGCAGCCAATTGCCTTAACCTCTGTACCACCAGAGCTGCTCCTTTTATAGCACAGTGTGGGAGAAACAGCACAAGTCTGCACTCAGGCAGACTTGGATTTAAATCTTGGCTCTGAGATCCAGGTGAATCAATTAAACTTTTAGGCTCAAATTTTTTCCATTGCAAAATGGAGACAACAGGGTGCTTTAAGGAATGAATGAAACAATATGTTAGTAAAACACCAGCCTAGAGCCTGGCACACAGTAAAAGTGAGATGTTGGTTCACACCTTCATTTCTCAAGTGCAGTTTGGGAATACTGGTACTTATACAAGTAACTGAAACAGCCTCTTATAGAGGGGGAGCTACAAGCACAAAGATGCTAACTACAGTTATTATCTATTAAAGAAATAAAAACATAAAGGGAGGCAGTTAATAAATATATATGTAAACATGCATTATATATATTATACAATACACTTAAGAAATTTGCTTATGTAAACATAAAACAATACTTTCTTAAAAGGCTCATGTATAACCATATTAAAGAGTAACAACCATGAGAAAATGTGCCTGGAAGCTGAAAAAGCATGGAATAATGGAAATGTACATGATCTGTCAGGGGGCTGGGGCAGTGAATTTCTCCTTTGTAAAATTTAGGATTCTAATAATAACTACCATCCTAAAAGAGTATCCAAGGGGATGTGAAGGTGGGTAACATAGGAAGTATTTAAAAAAAAAACAAAGCTTAAAATGAGGTCACAGACTTGAAGGGCCACGTAAATAGCAAATGTCATGCTGTGTTTGGGATGTTTTATGGGGCCTGCTGGGTGCAGGGCATGGCTAGAGGGAGGGCATACCTTCTGTGTTCACCACAATGATTCCCTGCACGCCCTTTTGGTTCTGAAGTCGCTTCAGGGTTTCTTCCACTTCTGCCTGCCAGAGAGAACCAGACCAAGGTTAGGAGGGGCCAGGTGGGCTGGATACCCCCATACCCCGGCAGATGAGCCACTCCTTCATCTTCAACAATAAACAAGTAGCACCTGGTCACCTGACACCTCCCCAAAGCTTCCGAGGCCTCTTGAGTGGTCCCTAGGTCACCACCAGCACCGAAGACATCTGTTTCACACCTGCAGCACCGGGTAGGGCTGTTCTTGGCCCTTTGCCCACAAGGCACTGTTAATCCCTCCCTCCCTCAGCTATCTGGGAGAATATAAACACCACTTCTCGGGGTACAGACATACTCATGATGCACAGACTTGGTGTAGTTAGGGAACAAAACATCGATGATTTGAAAAAATCCCAGAGTGGGATCCAACAAGGAGGAGACGCTCTGTCATTCGTGGCCAAAACAGCACAACTGAGAACATTTCAAAGGAAGCAAAATGATCTGGGGAGGACAGACTCAGTGACTCAACCAGCTGGCATCAGAGAGAGTGACACACAGCACCTAGCCACAGGAACTGTGCCTTGGGAAGCGGTACATTAATCCTGAGTTTCCAGTGGGACACTGGCACATGGAAGTCATGACAGAGGAGCCCATCAGGCATTTGTAGCTTCATTCTGCCCTGAAGGCCTCTACGTTACCAAGACCTCTTTTCTTACCTGTTTCTTTCCTGCCACGTGCCCAAACCTCCCTGCCCCCACTTCTTTCTACCCTACAAGGTATCTTTTCGGCTGAAACCCAACACATTCTTCTAGACCATCTAAGACATTACCTTCTCCATAAAGCCTTTACTGATCCCCAAGACAATGGAATTTTGGCCACCTCTGAATCCTCAGCCCTTGGCTGTACTCTCTAGGGCATGGAATAGGTACTGTGTTTACAATCTCTGCAGACTCTGCAATGGTCTGCCGACGAGGGCCTCAACAATAGCTGCTTAACTGAACTAGGCCTAACCCTTTCTATGGATGGAAACTGGTCTTAAAGTGTGCTTGTTCAGGAATGTCCCCTCTAGATCGGCCCAGAATCCATCCAGGAGCTCCTCAAAGGATGATAGTCAGACTCTTGGGAATAGAGGCTCCATTCACCACAAGAGTGGTTCCCCACCCCCAGGGAGGAAGGAGTTAGCCCCAAGGGGAGGGGCTCCTGAGCAGTGGGTGGAGATGGCACAATGGGTTATTGTCTTCTGGAAGGCATAAGGCTGACAATCCAGTCACCACCACCCACGCCCTCGTGATGCAGGAATACTGTCAGATGCTGGCGGTGGGTCTGTGCTCTCAGTAGATTCCTACTCGGGGAGACCCTGTAACGAGAGAGGACAGAACTGCCCCGTAGGGTTTCCTGGGCCATAATCTTACGGAAGCAGGGAAGGGCAAGCAGGTTCCTCCTACAAACGGCAAATAGCCCAGCACTTCTGAGCGAAAGGACAGGCTAGGCTCCTAGATGCTGAAGTATAACACAGAGGATCACACACGCACAGTAAGGCATTCATCAGACTTTTCCTGAGCGCCCCCTACTATGGTCAAGTGCTCTCCGGAGGGGAGGGCGTGGAGAGCTAAAGTATGACAGCGGTGAATACTATATATCCCCTCCTTGAAATTCATCCTAAGCAAATAATCCAAAGGAATGAAAAAGACAAACACACCAAGATGTTTACTGTAATGACACCTACAATATCAAAAAGCAGAAAGAACCAAAAATACTTAACACTTAGGGAAACTGTCAAGTAAATTATGGAACATCCACTTGCAGGCAAATATGATACACTAACAACGATGATTAGATCACACTATGACATCAAGAAAGGTTTATAACAGGTGAAAACAGCAAATGTGAAAATAAGAGTTTGATGACTCAAACATATGAAAACAACAAGAGGACTAGAAGAGATTATGAAAAAAATAAAAAGCCACAAGAGCAGGAAATAAGAGGGCTTTCATTTCTTTCTTTTCTCAAAGTAGCTCTTTTTATCTAATGTACTCTATTTAAAAACTTTTTTTTTTTTTTAATTTTAATTGTGATCTGGGCAAAAGTTTACAGAGCAAATTTGCCCTCCATATAGCAGCTCACATTCACTTTGTCTCATGACACTGACTGCAATTTCCCACAATGCAACAGCTCCCCTCCTACTTCCTCCTAAGTTACCTCTTCCCTGTGTCCTTCCCTCCATGTACTCCTGCCCAAACTGTCTCCCTGTGCATACACAGCCCTTGTATTTTCCCATGATTGTTCTCTCCAAGGAGTGTATATACCTAATGTAAATGTTCACCCCATATGCTTGTCTGTTATTTCGTTGGAAGCCATAGCATTGGGTTCCATTCCAGACCTGAAGGGCAGCTAGGGGCCATAGTCTCAGTGGTTCCATCAGGCTCTATCAGACCAGCAAACCTGGTCCTTTTTTGTTTGTTTATTTTAATGATTTCAAGTTTTGTTCCACATTTTCTCCCACTCTATCCAGTATCTCCTACAGAGATCCCCCTCCAAGTGGTTGACAGTGGTGGCTGTCATCTAGTTCTTCTGGTGTCACAGTCACATAGGGTGAGGACTGCATGGTGTACCAGTCGCTTGGACTGTTTCCGCGCATCTTTGGTTTTCTTCATTCTTCTTTGCTCTGGATGGGGAGCGACCCATCATTGCATCTAGATGGCCACTCGTAAGTTTTAAGATCCCAGTCGCTACTTGCTAAAGTAGGATATGGAATAATGTTATTTAAAAACATTTTTAAACCTTCTTCTCTGTATGTATCCAAAAGAGAGGTCTCTGGGGTGGGGGCCACGGGATCCTGACACATTCAACGTTCTAAGAACAGATATGAGTACCTGGGATGATAATCTAGGACAGCTAACATGATCTGCAATCAGTCGAGGAAGAAAAGGGAAAAGAAAGCTATTAACAAAGATGTTGTTGTTGTTAGTTGTTGTTAAATGCCGTCGAGTCGTTTCCGACAAAGATGTTAGGTCCAAAATATTTGTCAGAAGTTGAAGAGTGGTGGGGCTGGAAGGAAGGAGATGAAATTGATTCATTTAATAACTGTATGAGAACTGTCTACATACTAGACATTGCTGTAGGCCTGGGGATGCTACCAAAAATCTCTGCTCTTATGAAGCTGACATTCAGAGGGCAGCGGGGGAGGCAGTCGGACGTCAAACAGACAAACCGACACCAAGTAAAAGAAAATGTCAGATGTAGTAGGGGAGGGGGATTCAGAATGCAGGGGCCGATGGCCATGTTAAATTAGGTGGCAGGGGAAGACCTCACTAAGGTGATACTTAAGTAGACATCTGAAGGAAATGAAGGCCGCAGCCATGTGGGTTTCTGGAGAGGATTCTAGATACCGAGATGATGTCTGCTGTTATGTGCTGTTGAGTCAGACCTGACTCACAGCGAACCCTCCTTGGGTTTCTGAGGCAGTATCACTGTGGAAGTAGATGCCCAACCTTCCTTCCGAGGAGTGGCTGAAGATGTCTAGAGGTGGGCAAAGTGGCATGTTCAAGAAAAAGCCAGGATCTAATATAGTTGAAGATCAGATCACAGCAGGCCTGGCGGGCCACAATAATGAGTTTGTTTTTACTGGGAATGGCAGGTTTTGAGATGAGGAATGAAATGACGTTTCAAAAGCACTGCTCTGGCTGCTTTGTGGAAAATGGACTGCAGAGGGCAAACACGGTCTGTAGTAACCCTGGCGTCTAGCCCTGGCTCCAGGCATGTGCTGCTCCCTCCTGGAGGTCATAGCCTTCTGTACTTCACTCACTGCTGCTGTGACTAACTCCCTCTTTGGACTCAGCTCATAAGCCTCCTATGAGAAGCCTTTTACAACATCTGCTCCTGTTCTAGGCACCCATGGTACCCACCTCACCTTCACAGCACTTAACCACAATGTATTACAACTGTCTGTCTTATATCTGCCTCTTCCTCTAGATCCAAAGCACCTGGGAACAGGGACTGAGACTTTACAGACCTAGTACAACGCCCAGGATAGACGAATACAGAAAGAACAAATAAACAGCATTTCTGCAATCCGCCCTTACAGTACTCGGGTGAAAAATAGCTGGGCTTTAGGTACTCATAAGTTTCAAGAGAACCAGCCACTCAGATCTGGATGCTTAGAAAGTAAACATGCATATACTAAGAAAGGGAGGACACGTGAGTATCCATTAGTCTCCTCAGTACCTAAAAGGGTCAGACAATGGGACAAATGCTTTCAGACACATCTCGTTTGACTCTCTCATTCACTTTCCATGGTTAACATTATCTCCATTTTACAGAAAAGGAAATTAAAGCTCAGAAAGGGTAAACATTTTGCCCAAGGACACGCAGCAGATCGAGAGAAGAGCTGAGTGACACGTGACTACAAATGACGAGGTACAAATTGAGCACATTCAAGCAACAGAAAGATGACCAGTATTTCCCAGTTTTTTGAGTCTTTGCTAATCTGATAGGCAAACAAATAAATAATAAAACGCCAACATCCTGTAGGAGTGATTAGTAAAGCTGAAATGGGATTTGCTGAGTTTTTACATCTCTCCTTTGAGTCTTTTGATTTTTCTATTAATCTTGTTGATTTGCAAATTTCTTAGCAATATTAGATAATTAGAAGTGTAATTTTTGTATGTAGTCAAGTTTAATAAAAATATTTTCTGCAAGACCAAGTGTATTTGTATGTACTATAAGAATTTCTAGGTATATAGTAGAACTGACAAGCTACAAGGCTGTATAGTCACTTCTTGGCCACTGCCAGCTACCCAGAGGGAGTGAGCTCTTGGATCTGTGGGCTCGGGACCATAGTCTTGGGGGACATCAAGCTCAACTGGCATAACATACTACATAAAAACACTGTTCCACATTCTACTTTGGTGAGTAGTGACTGGGATCTTAAAAGCTTGCAAGTGGCCATCTAGATCCAACGATGGGTCTCTCCTCATCCAGAGCAAAGATGAATGAAGAAAACCAAAAGCTCATGGAAACAATCAGTCCAAGGGACTGGCACACCGTG